ATTTCCTCTGCAAACTCTGGATAAGAATTACAAAGGTTGGACTGACTCTCCCATACAGCTGATGCCCAGGCTAGGGCGCTACCTGTAAGTAAACCTATCATATAACAAATCTTAGCTCTGTCGTTAGCATAAGTAGACGGCTGCTGCTCAAACACAAGAGAACACTGCATTATGAAAGACTTACATGTCCCTAAGGCACCTGCGTACCGCTCTGGAGTGGGAATATTAGGCTCACGTGAAGGGAGAGCGGGCTGGGCTGGAACCGGTGCTAACTCTTGTGGGGGAGCTGGATCTTCAGGAGCAGGCGGAGCAAGATGAGTTGAAACCAGGTTGAGGTGATGTCCCATCTGTGCTACGTTGGCAGCTAGTGATGCAAGGTTATCCATAACCTCTCTGAGCATCTGGTCATGCCGGCCCAAGAGGACGCCTTGGTTGGAGAGAGCCTCACGAATTGGGTCCGAGCCTGCTGGGTCCATGGTGGCCAGATTGTTCTGTTAGGATTATGTTTTAAACAGGACCCAGGCGCAGGCAATGACTGAAGATGTTTAAAAGGTTTATTGTTCTGAGACTCAGGCGGGTTTGGAGGCTATGGAGGTCCGGAGTGGAGGTAGGCAGTTCAGGCTGGACTGAGAACAGGGCAGGCAGGTATGGTGAAGGAAGAAGCAGGCAGGTTGGCTGGAAGCTCTGGTGGCCGATGGCTGAGGGATCGTACTGGAAGTAAGGAGAAACTAATTACAAAAAGTACAGAATAACACGCAGACAGGATAACTGAAATGAGCAGCCAGGAGGATGCAATACCACTGGTGTAGAAAACAATCTGGCGGTGAGTTGCTGGGAGACTGGAGTAGATATGCTGTGTCTTGATTGGATTGATGAGGGACAGCTGAGCCGGTCGGCCAGGCGAGTACAATCAGGCTGCTGCCTGCAAGGGAAACCACACCCCCTCCACACACACACAGGGGAACAAACAGGGACACACAGGGACACAGTTTGGGCCGTGACACGTAGGAAGTTGCGGAGTTTGTCGTCACTCTCGGTGATGACGCCGTTTATCGTTTTACCTTCCAGACGATCCCCATGGGTGAACAGCACGATGGTGTAGTCCCAAATCCTCGCGCCAAACATTTCCTCCAGCAGGGAGTTGGTGTCTTCGTCTTCCTGAGTCATCCTTCCTACCGGGACAACCAACACAAAAACGTGGGTTCCTGGTTCCTGGAGTTTGACACATTTCAGAATATCCCGCACTAGTGCCTCCTTGTTGCGGTTTGTCTCAAAAAGTCCGGGAGTGTCAATCACAGTGACAGGCACATCCTTTGTTTCCCCTTTCACAGAGACGGGAACATCCTTGACTGTCCCACTCCCCGCCTCACAGTATCGAGTGACTCTCTTCAGCCTCATGTCTGATAGAAACACCTGTTTTCCGACGAGGGTGTTCCCACTCGAGCTCTTGCCGACCCCGCTCTTCCCAAGAAGCATGATCCTCAGGGGCGGCACATCTGTGAATTCAACAAATGGCGAAATGGAAAGATTTTACAAGACGGGCACAATCTGCTTAGCTTTGAGTGCATTACTCATTTTTGTTGAAGCCCAGCTAGCTTTATTTAAGTGTTTAAATAGTGGTTATAATGGTGGTCCATAAGCGGTGGCGTAAGACGTATTTACTTCCTTTACTGCAGTAAAAGTACCACACTATGAAAATACTTCAGTACAAGACAAAGTTTTGGCATTCAAGACTTAACTTAAGTAAACGCATGCAAGTGTTATCACCAACATGTTTGAAATGGTTTATTTAGCAGAAATAGGGGATTTTTTCCAACATCTTGAGGACCATATCATCCTTAAAGGGGCCTTATTCTGCTTTTTGTGGGTTTTCCTTTCCTGTAGTGTGTTATATCCGTTTTTTGTGCATGTAAATGGTCTGCAAAGGCTAAAATTCTAGAGGTCCATAGAGAGAGTAGAAATTGTAAAGTTGCCTCGCTCAAAATATTTTTAAATGGTGCTACAAGTATAGTACGTTATTTGAGTAATGTACTGCCACTGTGTATTCACCATAACAGGCGTGCAAGAGGTGAACACTATGACATTTTAACCCAAAAATGCATAGGTATTTTATTTATTTTTTGAGTATTCACCAAATGAAATGTTATACTGACTATTTTTTTATATTGTTACCCTGACTTATGGGTCAAACTCAATGTGTATGCTTAGGTTTTACAACATTTTTCATATTCAAGTTACACAATTTATCGGGCTGTTTTCTACACAATGGAAAGCAGATTAGTTTGATGCCATCATAGAGTTAATTTTGCTTCAATGTGTAACTATTATTGAAATAAAAAGAGGACATGAGGTGATTTGCTTAGAGGCTTCAGTTTAAGACATAACACACACAAATAAACAGTTAAAAAGTCAGCTTAAATCCTTGTAAATTAAGTTCAGTTTATTTTAAATAATTTGGCTTTTGTCTATGGACATCTGAAAACAGAGAGACCAACTGAAATATATAAGAGTTCATTTTCATACTTACGATTCCCCTGATCCTCCTGCTCAGCACAAGGCATGATGTTGAGGTTGTTTACATCAACTTCTTCCATTGATTCTTTGTTATGTCAGTGTTTACAGTGTTCACCCTCCGGATGCCAAGATAGTTTTTTAGGAGGGATGTTCAATGTGATGTAGATTTCACTCAGATGGGTCCACTCGCCCGGTCCTGACTCCTGACTGCCAAGGAAGGAGAATGCAAGTGACATTATGAATAGGAAATGTAATAAAGGCAGGATACAGTATGTTGTACAGGCTTACAGTATCCTGGCAGTATTTACCTAGTAAGGAAATGCCTACGCATAATAACATAAAACTCACACTACCCTTACGTTTGGCTCCTAAATCTCACATGAGAAAAATGTGACCAAAAGTTAAAAAAAAATGAAATTACTTTTGGTAACATCCTATTTTATTTATTCTCATGTGGCCCTTGCCATATTATACATTCGTTCAACTTATCCTATATGTTTTTGGTATTTTAAAGTTGCATTTTGGAGTTTTATATTTTAAATTAAGAGTTCCTCTGTACCAGCAGTGTGAAATACAGATTGCTATTGTTTCTATACAGGTCATATGACAAAAACTTCCCACAGTTTCACAATCAATTGCAATATTTTTAGTCCACATTACGCAGTCCCGCCCCATCTTGGAGACAGGTTCCTCCTGTTGGCTAATTTCATTTTCTTTTTGATATCTAAAACAAATAAATCCCCTAAACGTGGAAGTTTTACTGCATAACACAAGTGTTATTAGTCAACAAACACATACTTGTTTTTGTCTATATTAAAATACTACTTTATATAAATACTTTTAAATGCTACAGAAGGGAAATAGGGAGCCAGACTGTTAGAAAAATCTCCCTCGTCACTGGCTTGAGCTTCAATATCAGGATCCATGTATTTATTATCCTCTCAAGAATGGAAGTAGTCTTCACATACAGAGCATTTGGTACAACTAGTTCCAGAACAGTGTCCTTCATATGCTGATATACAAGAGAGGGAGTTACACAGTCACAAGATGGAGGAATACCGGTTCAAAGCAGTATTCAATGTTTAGTTCAGATTAGCTAAGGCCCACATCAGAAATGATCATGCTTGTCATATGTCTATCTCCATAGAGGCTGAATCATCATGTTCATCACATAGCTATCATATGCCTAAAACAGTCCTGATGCTCTTCTAGGTAATCATACATCCTGTCATGTACACAGCTACGTAGGGCCTTTGTTATCATGTGTACTCTGATATTAGAAGAGTACATTCAGTATTTTCCCAACACAGAGTAATAAAGAACGGATTTGGACAGGCATACTTGTTTGCTACCACAAAATCTACACTTATTAATAATAAATGTAAAGATTGTTTTATCTGTTGTTATACATTAAACATTTGCACTGAAGGGTTATTTAGACTGTTGATTCATTGTAAGACTAAATCTACACTGCCGGTCTCGAGTATTTAAAGTGCATATGTGATGCTGAAATTTCATACATTTTACACAGAAGCCCCAGGGGTGTCAAACTCAAATACACAGTGGGCCAAAATAAAAAAAATGGGTACTAGTCGAGGGCCGGACTGGTTCAATGTTTATTGCAAAACTTATTGAAATGAACTTATTTCACATATTAAACCTGGAACTAACAAAGCTTAAATTATTGCCTATAAAAACAACATTAAACATTCAATAAATAAAAAATCAGTTGCATTCATTTCTTATGGCTCTATCTGCAGCTTTTCCAGAGTCATTTCTTATGATTACATTTCTCCACAGGCCAACCACAGCTTCAAAAAAACTATTCCCCTCAAAGAACAAACCAAACATGCCCTGTTGTCTCAAGAAACAAAGTGCAGAAGGAAACATCCATTGAAACTCAGTGTGCTGCTCTGAGATGCTAGTTCAAGCCAGATACTTGGCATCTCATCTTGAGTGCAAGTTCATCAATGTTTGGGGTCAGGCTCTGAGCTGAGGAGATCCTCAGGATTGAGTGAAGGTGTGCGTGCAATATACCGGCGGGCCAGATCTAATAGTAATTAGAAATTATCCTGTGGGCCGAAATTAAATCCTCCACGGGCCTGATTTGGCCCGCGGGCCTTGAGTTTGACATGTATGCCCTAAGGATTCTATAAATATTCTACTGTGGCTTATTGGAAAATATTCAAACTTATAAAGGAAAATCATATCAGAAAACAAACAACAAAAGTACATGTATGATAATGTCCAGAAAAAGTTACCAAACTCTTGTGTTTCTTTGAAAGTGTGTAGATTGAGCGTTTGTGTTTCCATTTCAGCGAGGAACCCAGACTACGACAACTTGGACATCGTCAGCAGAGATGAGGAGGATAAATACTTTGATGAAGAGGAGATGGAAAATGAGGAGGAGGAACAGAATAGTGTCTTTATAGTAACAACTGTTTACACTCACTCATCGTTCTGTAAATACAACATGTACAAAATAATGGTATGCTTTCTATTTGTTAATCTTACACACAAATGCAAACATGGCTGGTAATAAATATTGTTTTTGAGAATAAATATGGTACCCTGAAATAAAGACTCTGTATTTGTGCCTTTTAGTCACCAGATCGCAGTTTTCTATTCACTTGTTTACCTCCTGCTAATATATAATCAGTTTAAATAACAAACATCTTCAAGATTCAAACTAAGAACAAGGATATTATCATACACACACTATGAAAAGGTTACACACACATTTCATTTGAGTTAAATGTCAATATATGTATACATTTCCTCTCTTAAAGCTGAAAGAAAGTTTAACTAGGTCTTTACTAATATATGTAAAATCAGCAAAATACAATTACAAGAAATCCCAAAATATTTCGATATTGCTACATTTCTGGATGGTTCCTCTACATAAATGCATACAGAAAGGTGTAAAAATAGACATATATTAGATAATACGTTGATAAATTACCGTAAACCATTGTAAGTTATACAATATATTTTAAATTAATCACCTGTATTCTGTCATCTCATTTAGGCACTGCTACAGACAACCTACATATTTAATAAAGGACGTTTAAAACAAATTACAATTAAAAGCCATCTCAATTCTTAATATTATTATTAAAAACAAACACTTTAACGAGATGCGCTGTTGCAACATTATAATTCCTGAAAACATGTAGAATATTAAGGGAACACATTGTTGGATCATTTGTTGTTTTAACTCAGCTACACCTGGTTATTTGGACTAATAATTATATGATCACACTTTTTTATTGCTTTAGGATGCTGCAGTGAGTTTCTTTTTTTGCTTTGAGGTCATATAGACTGGTAGATAGGTTTTAAGGCAAGGCAAGGCAAGGCAAGTTTATTTACATAGCACCTTTCAACACAAGGCAATTCAAAGTAGGTACATTTTGCACCAGATTTACATGAAGTCCTCCTTCTTTAGTTGAAACTGATTTTAAGCTATTTCAAACCCGTACGTATTCCTCATTCCCAACCTAAATACATGGCGTCACTTCAAGTCAAACTGTGATGCTACAGTCGCAGTAAACATATGTTTTAACGTTAGGATTTAGAATAAAAGTTAAGGAAAAGGGAATGGTTTGAGGCTGAAAAAGGTTATGTTACTTTATATAACCTGAAGGAAGGCATTTGATGCCATAGGAAACAAACCCAGCTGGTACCTCGTAAACTTCTGATGCACATTTTAGATAATGTCTTTGTCTTGTACAGTACAATCATTTTCTCTCACCAACAAAAATGAGGTTTGGTTGTCTTTCGCTATCAGTGTCAAACTACTTTTGTCATTTTCGGTGATACAGGTTTACACCCTCTGTGATTGCATTGTCCTTTTGTCCAACCGGTCATCGATAACATTTAGGCTCACCATGTTTTTATGCAAAACTATTTCACTTTTTAATTTCCCTTATTTTCAGAGTGTAGTACTCCTCTTGCAACTTCATGATCTTTAGTTTCATTTTGATTTTCTCTCTCTTCAGCTGCTCAAGGTCCATTGTATCCAGATTACAGGAAGTGGAGACTGGAGTGCTCTTTGAGGCTTGGGGAACCCTGTGGAAGAAACATAAATAAACAAATATAGAAATAAATAAATAACTGAAAACAATCAAAAATGTACAAATGAACAAATTAATCGTATGTCTTGCTTAGATGCAAATGAAGCTTCTTTGTTGATTTGCGTGTTGCACCTTACCTTGTTTCTGTCTCCATCACTTGTAATTGTGCAGCATCATGACCAGATGTTGTTGCCTCTGTTTCGTCATGACAACCGTCATCCAGCTTCCTCTGAGGACCTGCACAGGAAGTAGAATATTATTCCAAGTGGTCTTGCACAAACATTTAAAAAGACTTCTCTAATGGTTTCTAAATAACTTACACGCTGTGTCTAGAGTCTCTTCCTTAACTTCCTGAATGTATGCTGTGTTTGAGGCAGCGTCTCTGGTGTTTCCAGTTATGTGTGTGATTAACAGCGGAGGGGAGCCACTTTCTCCCTCTCCTGTCTCTATTGCCAAATCTTTATCAATGAGAAGATCCCCATCTTCACCATCATCTTCCTCTGTTTCTTCTGCAGACTCCATATCTGATTCTATGACAGGGATTTAATGATATATGCACTTTAAGTTATCATCACTAGGTAAGTCTATATAAATATCAAATGAATATTCTTGTCTTTGCGTCGCTGTTGTTATTTGAATCTAGTTTATTTTAAAGGACAGGTGTCATGGCCATTTCCACTGATCATAATTACATTGTTGAGGTATACTAAAATAGATTTATACTGTGCAATTTTCCAAACTCACATTGGTTTCGCATACAGCATCTCTGTAAAGTAGTATTCACTCTCTCCACTAAACGGCTCGTTGGAGCTCTTGCCCCCCCCTCCCTGTGAGCCTAGTGTGCTCCGATTGGTCAGCTCGGCCACTCTGTTCTGATTAGTCAACCACCAGAGAGGCTCCGCCCATGTCTAACAGTGCTTTTTTCGGCTCGATCTGAGCGGAACATCAGTCTTATAATGGCGTCGGTACAGCCGTATATTTTATACGCTAACTAACCGAACTGTACCTACAACTGTTGTTATTGAAGAGTAAGTTATTTTTACCTGTAATAAACTACTACTGTTTGATGAGAAATCAAATCATGGTTTGCTATATATGAATGATAAGTTATAGGAGCAAATAATTCAGGGAAGAAAGGATACTAAGTATTTCCATCAAACTTTATTTTTAGAAATGTACAAAATGAACATAAATATACATATATACACGGTATATCATCCATTCCTCCCCGTTGTCGGCATCTTGCCTATCGCAGCCGGGGCTTTTTAGGACGAGGCATCACTGTGGTAGTCCCGTCCCCGTCATGTATTGTCCGCCAGGATCTGGCTAGACGAAATCAAATGCAAATCACAAAATATTAGAGAAACTTAGTTGTTTTAGATTTGTTAGTAGTAGTTGTGGTAGGAGTGTGGATCTATCTAATCCAGCTATCTAATCAACACAGTAAGCCTGCCAGCTAATATGCTAACCTAGCTTTCTTGTTTACCTTGGTAGCTAACACAATATGAACGGTAGCTCGGAGGAACGGCAACTATAATGTAGTGTAATAAAACTACTATGAACAAAAGCTAGTGGTTCATATTAGGCTAGCAATAACGTGTTTATAATTGCAATCTTATACGGGTAGTCTGCTACGTTCGGTCATTCATTGTAACTGGCATGAATACATTGTTTTCCGCTAGCATGTATAGCTAGCCTCGTTAGCTATACATGCTATCAGCGTAGCTCGGAGGAAAGCCAACTGTAATGTACTGACCGTACGGTAAATCACCCGGAGTATACTGTATGAGTATTCCGTGTGTGAATGCAGACATTCTCCTGCCATGACAAACATGTAAGGCCATCTGCTGACATTGTAGTTGATATATTTAAACGCTAGCAACGTCGTTAGCCCAGTAAGCACTGTGTCAATGGCTTGTTTAGTGTAATAAAACCACTATGAACAAAAGCTAGTGATTCATATTAGGCTAGCAAGAACGTGTTTACAATTGCAATCTTATACGGGTAGTCTGCTACATTCATTGTAGCTGGCATAACAACAATGTTTTCCCGAGCAAACCCATGTCTCGCTCCGTTGGTTAGCTCGGTAGCATACACGCTAGGAACGCCAGCTATAATGTAATTACGTTTCGCGACTGACCGTACGGTAAATCACCTGGAGTATACTGTCTATGAGTATTTTGTGTGTGAATGCAGACATTCTCCTGCTATGAGATACATGTATGTAAGGCCATCTGCTGATATTAGAGTTGATATATGGAAACGCTAGCAACTTAGTTAGCACAGTTAGCACTATGCAAATGCCTTAGCAGTCCGACACACGTTTACACATTTAAACAGTCTTGTTTGATAAATACACAAATAACAATGCAAACGTACCCAATCTTCCCCTGCTCCAAACGGTCCAAACAAACTAGGAATAGCATCGTCATTCAGTTTCAAATGCTGTGCATATCCGGCCTCAAACTGGGCAATGTTTTGGAAGCTTTCGTCTGTGAAATGCCGCGCACACAGTAACGTTCTTCGAACCTCTGAAGGACCAGTGTTAAAAAGAAATTTCAACCACTGACTTCGTCATGGTTCTTCCGTCGGTAGGACAAACAGCTCAGATTTCTCCTCACATTTCAGGAAACAGGTCCTTGGCATTGGCATGACTGGATCGATTGTGAACTGAACCAGAGCTTCCAACATTAAATGTTAGGCTGGCAGAGGGTGCGGCCAGCGCCGCTGGGTGTGGCCATAGCTCTTCCAGATTGGTCCATTTTGTTCCGGGTGCCGCATGACATCATGCCGTACCCGGAAGAATCAAATGGACAGTGACGTATCTCCAACGAGGCGTTTTGGGGAGGTATTTTCTGTGTTAGAGTTTTACTCGCTACAGGGGTGTACTTTGAGGGTTTTGACTCTGCACACCGTTTACATGCATAGAAACCTTCATAACACACAAGGGGACGGGTAATAACCGGAAAAGTATGACACCTCTCCTTTAATTGGATTGGTTGAAAGTGGAGACCAACCTTCAGACATGCTCTCTGATGTGAGATCGGGGGACGGGATCTTACATTTCTGGGAGAATAAAGGAAATGTAGCATTATCATCACTGTCATATTGCATTAATTGATATCACATTGTATTCTGAGTTTATTTACCCTTACAGTCGCTCTCCTTTTAGATGTATTGTTGGTAAAGTAACCTTCCTGTGATCATAGTGAGAATGCTGTCAATTAAGTGTTTGTTCTGGTTTTCTTGAATAAAACGTGTATAAAAGGACAAATATCTTACATCAATCCAAGACTGCAGAAGCTTTCCTTTATGTTGAATACTGTGTTTCCATTTTCTATTCTTTCCTTTTCCCCCAAAGATCTCAAATTCTATGGGATTGAACCGGCGGCCCTCACTCTTGATACACTCCTCACCTAAACACACATAAAGCAACACATGTTAAAAAACAAAACAGGCGTTAGGAATCATGAATAAGGAAATAGAAAAACAAGTGTGTGCTTACCCCTCATCATCTTCTCTGCGTCGTAGAGGATTCCCGTTTTGTTTCCACAGGTTACATTCCAGGTTCCTGAATGTTGCATAAATGGACATAATTGTCAAACAAACAATGACTAACAACTTTCAGAATATTTATTAGCTGCAAAAATATTGAGTGTATTTTAATGTCAAAGACAATGTTCTTAGAGAATGTCTCGCACATTGCAAAACATCTGGGAAGGCCTTGTTGTTTTTTAATTTTCATGTTGTCAAAAATAAAAGATAAATGGATGCTAAATGTATTATTTACTATGTTGTTGTGTTATCTTGTAGTGTTTGGATGTGCTTGGCTGCTCATTGTCTTCCTGATCTTCCTCCTCCTCTTCTCTTTTCTTCTTATCCCCGTCATCTCCATCATATTTGATCCTTTTTTGGTCCCTGAGGCTACTTCTACTGATCAAATATTCTTCTTCTTCGTCCTCAGAATCGAGTCGATTCCGAGATCTTTTCTGCTCCATTCTTCTGTTTTGAAACAAACAACAGATAACATCTTAGACTGCATTCACAATGTTAAGTTGTTTCATTTTAAAACGTGTATTGTGTTGAAAGTGTTTTCAATTGGATAAAAGTCATTTAAGTAAAGAACAGGATATAACATTTTTCATCTGAAAAGGCCCAATAGCATGACAGGGTGTTCAAATAATAATGTTCTACAGTCATTTTTAACCAGAGGTGGGAGAAGTACTCACCTCTTGTACTCAAGTAAAAGTAGAAGTAACACAGTGTAGGAATACTCTGTAATAAGTAAAAGTCAGGTCATTAACATCATTTATCCAAATCTGCAAAGTAACTAAAGCTATTAAATAAATGTAGTGGAATAAGAGTAAACGATGTACCTCTGAATTGTAGTAAAGTAGCATAAAATGTAAGTATTCAAGTAAAGTACAAGTACCTCAAACTTGTACTTAAGTACAGTACTTGAGTAAATGTACTTAGTTACTTAACACCCTGATGTAAACAAGACGAAAGTCTTTCTCTGGTCTGCATCCCCTTAACAATTGTATGTTTTGAGCTGTACTGTACTGTACCCAATATACAAGCTGTTAATAAACTTTTCAATCAATCAATCAAAACCACTGTTTTTAACACTATAGTATTATTTTAGTTTGGCCTAGATACAGTAGCCTACATTATTTACATTACATGTAAACATATTCTAGTAGTATCCAAACTACCTGAAAGGGTGTATAAGAAGGGACAACCTTCACAATTCTAAACCTAATCATGTGTGTAACAGGTAAAAGAAACACACTTCAACGAATGTGACATTTTATCAACCTTGTGATTTTCCTCGTATAAAGTAATTGGTTTTAAAATGTAAGATTTGTATGTTTAAAATCGAGAGTGCAAGAATGGCAATACAGAGTCCTGTTGTTTCTAGGGGTTCATAAGCTTCCCAAACTCTCACTCTCACGATTAATGTATCGCTCCGATAAACGCATATATAGCCTAAATATATCTGGCAGTTTAAAAAATATTAAAAAATATTTGTATTATTGTTTATTTCCGCTTTCCTGTCGCGCGCCCGGTACCGCGAGTAGTATAAAAACAAAATACGAGTGGATATTTGATTATCGTTTTAAAATTGAAAACATTTAATTGTTTATGATGTTACTGATCGCGGGCCAGTTGGCCCCTATGACCAGATCTCTGCTTTTATCATCATTATCATCCTCCTAATCAAACTTTTATTACAGACTATTACTCCAGACCTATCGTTGTAGGATAAGTCTCGAGTCGTCTTCCCAGTCATACAAACAAGGGTGGTCTTTCCAGAATGCGTCTATTCTCGGAGCTGTCACTACATTATCTGGAAGACTGTTCCAGTCGTTGACTATTCGGTGCTTATCTGCTGCTGAAAACATCTTAGTGACATGGAAGACGTCGATTGCGTCCCCCCTGCGAACCCTAGCCCTAATGGACAATCCGATGTACAGTGGAGAGAAGCATCCCCAACAGCTTTGGAGACCACCCAAAATGAAGCCCCATCCACCATCAGAGGACACCAGGGTCCTAATTGTGGCAGCCCATCCAGGTCCAGCAGCACCACCTGGGACTCCCGGCTCAGCCCGAATGTGTATATAGTTTAAATGTTGTTTTATTTGTATGTTGTTTTATTTGTATGTTGTTCCCTAAAATAAATCAAATGTTTCATATTGCTTATTACCTATTTTTATTTATCTGCTTATTTTTCCAGGAGAGAAAAAAGCCTATTAAGGTTCTCCCTGCTCTCCTGGGCTCTCCTCTCCTCTGCCTCCCTCTGCAGCTTCATGTCCTCTCTGATGAGGTCCATTAGCCCATCTTTTCTTTTTCTTTTAGGCCGTGATGGCCCTGCCTCAACCTGATCCTCGTCCTGCTGCTCTTCCTCCTCCTCTTGGTCCCCCACTGCTGAACTTGGCTGTGGCGTGTCCTCTGGAGTAGAGGATATTAGGACAGGCGGGCAGATGGAGGGCCTTTGTCCTAATATCTCATCCATTTGGACAAACCACGGCCAAGTTGCAGCAGTGGGTTTCCCATCAACTGCCTCGCCTGACCCTGGGTATTTGCAATCCTAAAGGCAGAGTAAAACAATCATGGCAGTAAAAAAAAAACAACAGCAGATAAACAAATGTCAGCAAAAGTGTTTATTTACTTGTAAAACTCACATACTTTATATAGTTGTTTAAGATTGTCCCACTTCTTCTTAGCTTGCAGGGGAGTTACACTTCCCTACAGGCCCATATCTTCCAAAACCGTCCTAATCACAGAGAGTATAGTAAAACATCTAGTATTATGAATAAAACAATAACAATGTCACAAGGATACAGACACTAAGGAAGAAATCATTTTTTTTCGAATGGTGGCATGAGACATCCCTTCACAAATACAACAAAGAAAATAAGGTATTGCCCCATATACTAGTTGTCTTATTAGAATGGACTGTATGAAATGAGGGATGATTAATAAAATAAGAACGATACAAACTGGATATTGTGCCTTACCTCCAAGCAATACTTGGAGTACTTTTCCCAGGAATAGTTCCGATAGTTCCTGGGATTTTGCGTTCACACCAAAAAGATCTGGAACTAGAACCTGGTTCCTGCGACCTTTTCACCCCTTTTCAGTCCCTGCTAGAGAGGTGGTACTTTCCTGGGTAGAAAAAAGGTTCCTGGGTGTGTCGGCCACACTAACAATTTCTGATTGGCTGGACGAATTGCAAACGACGCCCAGTAAAACTCTGACAAGTTTTGTGAAGCCGCCATTTTATTTGCTCGCATTAGCATTATTAGCATTAGCCCAGCGCACCAACGGAGAGAGACTAACTTATGGCAACACAAAATAAAACGTGGGAGCGGTGGAGTGATGAGGAGGTGTCTGCGCTTCTGGCGATTTACCCGGGACTTCGGGACTTCGGGTGGAAGTATATGCCGTGAAGTTGTTTGCGGCCTGCCAGTAAACCCAAAGCAGAAGAAGAAGTGACGTCAGCGGCTTCATTTGCATAATCCTTCCTCAGGGACTTATTCCGGTGTGAACGCGATCTACTAGGACAGTTCCGGGACTAAAGAGTTCGGCGGGACTAAGTACTGGGAACTAAGTACGGCAAAGTACTTGGTGTGAAAGAGGCTAATGTTCGCAGAGAATTTGGCCCCGGTGAAGAGGGATTCATTCTCTCCACGCATTTGTATAAATTGAGCAGTCTGCTCCTTGCTCCCTATCAAAACAAATTGTTGCAGTAAGATTTGTAAAACAAAAGCAGTTAAATAAATAAATTAGCTTTTTAATGAATCCCAACAATATGAAAACCAAACAGGGTTTACAACCTGTCGAAATGTTTTCACTTCATATTATTTTATGTATGTAATATAAAGAAGACATCTCCGATCGCCCGTATCTTTAAATAAAAAAGTCAAATCGGTTTACTGTTTTTATGTTGTTTACTATTTGGGTGAGTTGAAACCCTATACTTACATTTAAAAACAACCCCAGCTCCTGCCGAAGCTTCTGCTGCTGCCGGTACGTTGGAAGGCATTTTCTTTAAAAAAAACCTCACTCGTCACCGCCGCGCATTGCATCCTGGGATATGGTAGACCGCGGAGGATACATCAGATGTATCTTCCAAATCCGGGAAAAGAAGGCCGCATTTGTGGCAGTGGCGGAGCCAGGACATTTTCAGTGGGGTGGCCAGGATGGAACCAGTGATCATTTTGGGGTGGCATTGAAATCACTATTATATGAACATAAAAATACATCTCACTAGAAAATAAGGGGTTATTTAAGGCACCTACAACACACCTCTACATTATTTGGGATTAAGCTAGTGGTGGAATAGATCAAATAATATTCAGTATATCTAACTATTTTTTTCTTATTCCCACAGGCAAAGTAAAAACGACAATACGCCCAAGCTGCCCCTCCTTAAAAAAAATTACAGCAATTATCTACCTCATTGTTTTGTTTTTAGAAAAACAAAAACTAGGTGTGTCTTGTTCTTGTTCAATCAGATGTTTAATGATTCAACATGTTTTTACACTTTCCTGTTTAGATTCTGCCTCGTGTTTGTTCTCATTGGGCCTTATGAAACAACATGTTCTATTCCAATGCTCAATTGCTCTAGGTCGGATTTCCTACTAACGTAATAGACACTTTGGACATTTATTAATCCTAGTAGATTTTGAGTCATCACTAGGCAAGGCGAGGCAAGTTTATTTATATAGCACCTTTAAACACAAGGCAATTCAAAGTGCTGTACAAAAATATAAGACAATAAGATCTAACAACACTAACATGTGTAGTCAAATTTGTCTGAAAATGATTTAGAAATGTTGCTTCATTTGGATGGAAAATTGACGAGGCGAAAATGTACCTCACTCTTAGTTTGTGAAATCATCAACTCACTATAGAAAAAAAGGAAAATTGGCATCAACAGCACGAAAACAAAAGCGGTTGCAACCATGTTGTCAAAGTAGCAGCAAAAAGAGCCAATGTGATGTACTGCCCCCTTGTTTGAGAGCTTGAACAACAACTGACAAGTGAAGAAATGCATGGATGAAATGTTGATGTGTGGTTCAGTTGCTTCTATATGCATTGAATAAAAACTGATGATTATTTGCGATGCATTTATGTGAAGCAGTATTTTATTGGTGTTGCTGGTTAAAGGTAGGGTAGGTAAGTTTGAGAAACCGGCTCGAGATACACTTTTTGTTATATTCCATGGAATGCTCTCAACATCCCGATAGCAATGAATATCTTAAGTGCTTTGACAAAAAATCCATAAAAAAATGCGCGTAGCCGGCCACAGCTCCTGGGGGACAGGTAGCCCGTAGCCCCGACTGGAATAGTCGCGAAACTGCACGCAGTCGGCTGTATGCGGGGAAATCCTTGGATCTAACGCTGTAGGTTACAAAAATGCAACCACGGTACTCTCGGGAAGCGAGAAAATGAAAAGGAAAAGGACCCGCTAATGACGCCGGCCTATGTAGCCATCGTCACGTGGGTCACAGGTGACTTTGTTGTTATTAGGTACTCGAACTGCGCATGCGTGCGATGGATATATCCAGTGCTAAAGCACCGCCTCTGGCGGTCAGTAGGGATGAAATAGAACCACTTTCCAGTAGTCAGCAGCACATTGTAAAAGCTGTTGATACAACTGTTCACATTCATAATTAAGTAAAGATAACACCCTTTTCACCCCGGTTACATTTTCCATTTGCCCTGAGAGGCTCAGTGAGGTAAAGGACTCTGAGTGTTTAGATATTTCACTTTAGTCTAAGTTATCTCAGTGGGTCTCAAATGGTTTTATCACAATTTATGTAAACAAATATTTCCAAGGCACACCTTTATAATTATTAGGATAAATAAAAACAGGTTTGAAATCATTCCAATGTATACTATAGGACAGTAAACCAACAATATCCTTTAAAATTGGAGAGATTAAAAAATACGGTATGATGGTGGAGTGAGAAGACGCAAGTTAACCAACTCTCTCAGGTCGGTCCGAATAAACCCACGAAAGTCAACTACTCGACGAAAAAAAGTAAGAGATGAGTGGGACAAACAGTAGAAAAAGCCGGAAATCTAACAAAAATATGGATAAATAAATAAATGTTAACTGGTCAAATAAGATATAAATGAACCAGCAAAAATATTGCCTAGGGCAGCAAATTGGTCAGAACCGGCCCTGGTGCCATCCCCACAGCACCCCCCATTTGAAACATGTTCCCACGGCTATGCAACGAAGCTTACATTATACAAATGTAGTGCAATATACAGACTGTTTAGCTTATGGTGATCAGCAGCCCTATGAGCTCATTCTCTCAGTGTATCATCAGGAAAACAGAGACACACACACATCATTTAAATAAGAGTTTTTAAATTAAATGATTGGTTAAGAATAAACATCTTAAAGTAAATAACAATAAACAATAGCCCTTAACCCTGTAAGGCCCCCGGTTGTAATTGTACAACATTACTTTAAGCCAGTGGTTCTCAAACTTTTTTCAATAATGTACCCCCTTCGGAAAATAAATTCAGCCAAGTAGCCTACCCCCTGATGAGCGCAAAAACAATTTGTTAGGGAAAAAATGCCTATATAAAGAGGTACAGTAAAGTGCTGCACCATCAGTGTCTGATTTATTAAAACAACAACTTTGTAACTGAGAAACACTTAAATGCTACATTTCAAATGTTTACAATCCATCACTAAATTCATGGCAAACCAATTTTAACATCATGCAATAACACTAAGACGACATTAGTTGCATTGAACTGATCTTTTTAATAAGTTGTACTTACAATTTAGTGAGAAACATGGGCTTGTGCTTCACTGAGGATCTTTGTCATTCTGACAGGGAGGCAAACTGCAGTTATTACACTTCACGTGTTGAAATAATATGTAACCCACACTGCTCAAACTTCGTTAATTTTCCTAACATTTGTATATTTATTTATTTTGGGGCGTGGGGAATGAAGAGAAAAATATATATGAGCATTTTAAGAGCATGGGATTTTGACCCCTCATATAAACATATGCATAATGCTGCGCTATACTTTGCGGCCACACGCCGTTGCCAAGCAACGCTTATTCTTTAGGTCCTTTGATAAGCAGGCAGTCATATCATTAGCTAGAACTAGCTAGATCTGATATGTGGTCGGTGTCAAGGTCCAATGTTGACTAAATTAATCAATAGCGGGTGTAACTCAAATACAAGATGTCTTTATTTATATATATATTGTAGCGTCTCGCTACAGGAACACAAGGAGGCTTGGTTTGTCCTTTATCCGGGAGTTTATTATACAGATCACAGGTTACTGTTGGCCATAACCACGCCAAAACAATCCACTAACCCTGTCGTATTCTCACTCTCCGTCACATATCCCGCTAGCTCTTCCCTCGCTTCCCGCGTCTCTCCCTCCAGGAACCTCCCTCTTCCAGCCCCAACCAACCAGACAACACTCTCCCACCCAAACCCACAGCTACAGGTCACAAGAACCGTCCATCAAAACAGTGGCACGTTCACTGACACTCTGTAAAATGCAAACAAACTCTGAACAACAAACACATCAAACATCAACATTATAGAGAGGCGAAGTCCCTCCCCTTCCGGTGGACCTCCATGGGACCTTATTTCGGAAAAGTTATGCATTGAAGTCAATGGAGAGAGAAAGATTATCTTTTGATCCCGTTTGAATTGTGCCACGAATTACACATATGATGTTTGTCAATTTAAAAGATAATTTTACAAGTCAAAAAAATAAAAATGTGTCGTAAAACTGTGAAGTAACACTTTTTTTGGTGTGAACCGCTCAATGAACTACATCTCCCGTCTCGCACCACACACCAAGATGGCCGTCACGTTGGCACATTTAACTTCTTTCTTTCAGAATGAGGCGAAAAGTATTAAAAGAGGTAAAAATCACTACAAGTCTGGGCATGTTGAGAGCTGTACATACACACAAGGGGAGTTAGTCGGTTCGTAAGAGCCAGCATGCGGGACCGGGATTCTGGGATTTGTAGTCTTTCTAGTTGCGTATTTTTCATAGTCTTATATTTAAACAGTTTTACGACAAACTGTGACTTTTTTGACATGGAAATTATTATTTAAGATTGACAAACATCATATGTGTAATTCGTGGCACAATTCAAACGGGATCGAAAGATAATCTTTCTCTCCCCATTGACTTCAATGCATAATTTTTCCGAAATAAGGTCCCATGGGTCGGAAGTAGATGGGCGGGACTTCGCCACTCTATAACCAGTCCGTTACAATATATTATTATTAATAATAATAATAATAATATAAAATATTGTATATGCGTGCATTTCTTCTTCGGAAAGTGGCGCTGTACTGAGAGTGGCGATTTTCTTTTGTCAGAGACATCTGATTGGCTATAGATAGAAAAAATTACGAATCGGGTGACCGTCAGGGGAGTCTCAAAAAACCCACACACGAATGCACAGCGATCCATGCACAGAAAGCGGTTTGTGTTTGCGGTTTTAAAAGGAAAACAAATATGTGTGGATCAAAAATACATTATGTAAAACTTTTTTCTGTATTTAGATATTATTTACATGTAGGCCTATATGAAACGGAACACATTTATTTGTGCATTGAAAAACACAAGTGTGGATCCGGAAATACAGGTGTGACTCCTTTTGCGGATCATGAAATACAAGTGTGAATCCTTCTGTGTGCATGTGTGTATTAAGAGACTGTTCTGAGCCCATACAGATCAGCTGCTGCTGACGGAGAACACGCAGCTCTTCTGGATCACAGCTCCGCCGCTGGGACCGTTGAGCGGAGCAAAATACACTAAGAGTTAAACCTAACACACACACTTAGCTAGTTTATCTACTCTGGAACTAGCTAAACTAGTTATAAGAAATATATTTATTCTTTACTGTCGGGTCACTTATTACAGGTTCAGCGAGCTGCACGAGGCTGTCAGGAGGGAGAGGAAAAGAGAGCATCCCGTTTATTTTGGGGTGGCATTAAAATCACTATTATATGAACATAAAAATACATCTCACTAGAAAATAAGGGGTTATTTAAGGCACACCTACGACACACCTCTACATTATTTGGGATTAAGCTAGTGGTGGAATAGATCAAATAATATTCAGTATATCTAACTATTTTTTTCTTATTCCCACAGGCAAAGTAACAACGAAGCATGGCCGTGGTAAGTAGGGGTGCCAGCTCCGCCACTGAGTCCGATATCAAGTTGAAGTAAAATCATCTAAAAAAGCTGAAATCCGCGAGACAAGTCAATATTCTCCACCTGAATGTTATGGAAAGTTAGAGAGGGAGTTAACGTAAAACATACACAGCTCACACAGACATGGCTACTATGACTGATGAGCAGCACACAGTAACACAGCAGTTGTGTCGAGTAGTTACATTTGTTTTACCAAAATGCAGTACGAGAAAAAACCAGAAGAAATAACCAGCATAACATTTGTCTAAGAATCCCCAGAATAACGAGAGAGTCTTACCGCTGCTGTTCCCAAAACAAAGGAAGTGAAACAGAAACTCATTTACTGACTCACCTCGATGATGTTCAGCTCTTTTAAAGTCCACCCAGCAGAGACACATATTCATGTTTTAAAGAAACCATCAGAGGTCACCACTCACCATCGCATTAACAGTCACATTGCACAAAATAATCATAAAAACTCTGAATAATTCAAACGTGTTGCTAAAATAAGTGACCAGGCATTTATTTTACTTAGTTTGCTTTAAATAAAGAAGCTTTGGTTTCAGAAAGACAAACACACTTTATTATTCACCTGTATGATTTTGAATAATGTTAATAATTTGTCTAAAAAGCAGAGTCATAGTTCATACTTATCCGACCGGCCCACATCGTCCGACCGGCCCACTTCAGTACCCGGCCCATCGGGATTCGTCCCGAACGGCCCGATGGCCAGTCCGCCCCTGCCCCTGATCCTCTTGCTCAGCACCATGCAGGCCTGATGTCAAGGCTGTTTTACACTTTCTGAATATAGAGAGACTGATTCTGAGAAATATAGTTCTTATTAAAGTTTATTTTATTTCGATCGGTCCACTCTCCAGTTGCCTGTCCTGCCACTTCAGACAAAAAAATGAATGTGATGATGCGAAGGAAATGTAATAAAGGCTGGATACTGGCACAAAAGTTAAGGTTTTCCATGTGTACAGGTCCAAAGGTCTGCAAAATCCCCTTCCGAAAAAAGAATTGCCAACATTAAAGCGCAATATAATGGTCAAGAATGTAACCGTTTGTGTTGGTTAATTTCTTAAAATGAAAGTCACATGCTTTAAACATCATGTATGCTACTGAACCATGCTAATAAAAAAACAACAGGGAAACCATTTCAGTTTAATCTGATCAAACTGCTTAGTGTGAAAACTTTAACTAACCAAAACCATTAGCATTATGTTTGTACTCAAAGGGCCGGTTGTAACTTTAAAGGTCCCATGTCATGACCATTTCTACTGATCATAATTCCATTGTTGAGGTATACTAAAATAGATTTATATTGTGCAATTTTCCAAACTCACATTGGTTTCTCATACAGCATATAGTATGTGTATTCACTCTCTGTCCTAAACGGCTTGTTGGAGCTCCTGCCCCCCCCTCCCTATGAGCCCAGTGGCCGTCTGCGAGACAGCGAGACACAGCGAGACACAGCGAAACCCAGCCCGAACACACACACACACCCGCAGCCTGGCTGGGAGTTTGTGTGTGTGCTCACACACCGACTCACAGCCTCGCCGCGTCCCGCCGTCTCAGGGAGGAGAAATCGGCGGAGCAGCAGCTGAGAAAAGATTGAGTGTGTGTGTGTGAGGAAGTCCGCGGATTGGTCCATTTGGACCAATCCACGGACTTAACGTAACGGCTCCGCGGACGTAACATAGCGGCTCCACGGATTGGCACGTCACTGTACCAAGGAAGAAAAAGAGAAATCTCCAACGAGGCGTTCTGGGGCAGCATAGACAGGTCTTTTCTGTGTTAGAGTTGTACTCGCTACAGGGTGTACTTTGAGGGTTTGTGACTTTGCAGACCGTTTACATACATAAAAACCTTCATAACACACAAGGGGACGGGTAATAACCGGAAAAGCATGACATGGGACCTTTAAGACTATATAAATATACATATGTAAATATATGATATATATGAAATAATGTATTATATTACATTATTGGCTCTGCATTGGACTATTATCAGTTCTGGTAATAACTTCATAAATAACGACGTCTGAAAGCAGAAGTCTAGGGCAAATAATTGAAAGCAAATATTCAACAATTACACCATTGTATATTATATTCTTTGCAAGCTCTTGCGGGCCAGATACAATGAGGCTGTGGGCCGGATTTTGACCACGGGCCTTGAGTTTGACACCCCTGCAATAAAGTTTATTGCACTCTGGTACTTCTACTTTTACTGAATAGCAAGATCTGAGTACTTCTACTTTTAATCAAGTACAAGATCTGAGTACGTCTCCCACCTCTGTGTATATTACATATCGTAGCCATTACTATTGTTGTTGACACAGGCGGTATATACGTGTGTGTTTTAATAAGGTTTCATAACCAACGTTATTATGTCCCACTGTAATTTGAGATGCATTTATTTTAATCGTTTATTTGAACAGGGACAATGCACATTAATGAACACTTTAAACAAATAATGCGTCAAGTGTAAATATGCCGGATTTTAGCTTTGAGCTAGTTTCCATCCGTAGTCCCTCACAATACAACATATAAGAACAAGACATTTACAAACATAGCAAAAATAAATACATGATATGCCTATTGGTCACTAGTGGTGTTTTATGAGTTTATGTTTATCAGTGTATTTGTTAATATAGACACCTAAAGTATATCATACATTATATGATGTAAATATGTTTATGTGAGATGGTTGCTCAGTATGATATGATAAAGTGTATTATATGCTGCAGGAAGGAGACAGTATATTGTTGAATATATATTAAAGATAGCTATACTGTATATAGTATATACGCTGCTAGGACAGTCTTGCAATACTGTACATTCTCAAAGATATTGAGCTTCTCAGCATACACAGCAGTCTGAAAGTATGTCTGTTTATTTTGTCCATGTACATTCTTTTTACAAAAATGTATTACGTGAAATCAGAACATTTGTTAAAAAAAAAGAAAATCACCAGAATAAGCATTGACAAAATGAAATCAGAAAAGAGTGTCTTACCACTGCTGTTCCAAAACAGAGGAAAGTAAACAGAAACAACTAAGTAACTGACTCAAACTGACTGGTCCGATGTCATGTTAATGTGTTAAAGAAACCACCAGAGGTCGCCATCCCATCATATTTACAGTCACATTGCACACTGCATTATAATCACAAAACACCCAGATTTAACACCCAGAAGTTATTTTTGACACAAAATACCACCTTAAACATAATATATGATTAGCTAGCTCTCTTTAAGGTTATATGTGATAGACAAGGAAGTGGGAAAATCAAACATGTTTAAAAAAACTGAAAGAAAAATCAGCAGCAATAGTTGAACATCCATTAGAGACTTAATAACTAATTAGCCCACTGATAATGAATATTTAAACAAACACAACATATATAGTTTTTGTCATTATACTCGGCTCTTGCAATAGTTCGGATTAATATTAAATTCCGATTAACTGAATGAGTGGTGGGGCCCTTGTATCGACCAGTTGAACGCAAATCCCTCTTTGATCAACCACCTTCTGAAAAAGTTGCCGCTGCGATGTGTTGCAAAAGCGGTAAAAATCCCTTATTAAGATGCATATTCCAAATTCACTAAATACATCACCAACGAACCCTCCTAAAACTTGATAAATATGGTCATTTCGCACACATCTTTATCAGAAAATGATACACATGGCCAAAATCTGAATATGCCGTTTCAAATTCTGAATACTGGTTTATTTGTTTTTTTATCTAATGTAAATGTAGGAAGTCAGGTGTATATCATTCTCTGAACCCTTTTTTTATACTAAATCCTTGATTAAGCGTAGGTAAAGTTGAAATAGTTTGCAACGGAAGATGTGTAGACTTCCTGCTGTCCTGATGCCAATGGGAAATCGTTCCAGCATTTTGAAGTCAGGATAGCAAACAGGTGGGTTTTTGTTGAACGGTTTCATGGGTCAAGTGAGCAAGTGAGCGACCAATCATGCAACTGCATTCTGGATGAGCTTCACTATCTCAAAACACACTAAATCCTATTGCCTTTTCTTAAAAAGCTGTGGATTTCTTCCTGATATAGCTGGACGAATAAACCATTTCTTGAGGAAAAACACAATCACAATCAAAATCAAAAATACCACCAGAATCAACTCAACTGGTGTCTTAAAATAGAAACATAGCAGTGCTATTCCTACCAGGAAGAGAATGAAAGTCCAAAAGTAGGAATTCTTGCAGAGGTATTTCTCTGCACCCTCTCTTGCTCTGTCCTCTTCTTTTCTCCACATCTCGATCAACTCTTTTTCCAGGTCTTCCCCCCTGAAATGCTCTCTCAGCTGTTTCTCTTTGGCGTGTATCTCCTTAGCGCTCTCTGCCAGGAGGCTCTCCTGTATTTCTCTTATCTTCCTCTCCTGCTTTGGATACAGATCTGTTTTGTAATGTTGCCCTCCATTCAGGGCCACCAAGGTCTGGATCTTTTCCAGGAAGCTGGTCACTTGGTCCTGGTCCTGCGGGTTCTTGTTGTCGAAGACGTGAAAGCCACCGCTGCACTTTCGTAGGAAGTTGCGGAGTTTGTCGTCACTCTCGGTGATGACGCCGTTTATCGTTTTACCTTCCAGACGATCCCCATGGGTGAACAGCACGATGGTGTAGTCCCAAATCCTCGGGCCAAACATTTCCTCCAGCAGGGAGTTGGTGTCTTCGTCTTCCTGAGTCATCCTTCCTACCGGGACAACCAACACAAAAACGTGGGTTCCTGGTTCCTGGAGTTTGACACATTTCAGAATATCCCGCACTAGTGCCTCCTTGTTGCGATTTGTCTCAAAAAGTCCGGGAGTGTCAATCACAGTGACAGGCACATCCTTTGTTTCCCCTTTCACAGAGACGGGAACATCCTTGACTGTCCCACTCCCCGCCTCACAGTATCGAGTGACTCTCTTCAGCCTCATGTCTGATAGAAACACCTGTTTTCCGACGAGGGTGTTCCCACTCGAGCTCTTGCCGACCCCGCTCTTCCCAAGAAGCATGATCCTCAGGGGCGGCACATCTGTGAATTCAACAAATGGCGAAATGGGAAAGATTTTACAAGACGGGCACAATCTGCTTAGCTTTGAGTGCATTACTCATTTTTGTTGAAGCCCAGCTAGCTTTATTTAAGTGTTTAAATAGTGGTTATAATGGTGGTCCATAAGCGGTGGCGTAAGACGTATTTACTTCCTTTACTGCAGTAAAAGTACCACACTATGAAAATACTTCAGTACAAGACAAAGTTTGGCATTCAAGACTTAACTTAAGTAAACGCATGCAAGTGTTATCACCAACATGTTTGAAATGGTTTATTTAGCAGAAATAGGGGATTTTTTCCAACATCTTGAGGACCATATCATCCTTAAAGGGGCCTTATTCTGCTTTTTGTGGGTTTTCCTTTCCTGTAGTGTGTTATATCCGTTTTTTGTGCATGTAAATGGTCTGCAAAGGCTAAAATTCTAGAGGTCCATAGAGAGAGTAGAAATTGTAAAGTTGCCTCGCTCAAAATATTTTTAAATGGTGCTACAAGTATAGTACGTTATTTGAGTAATGTACTGCCACTGTGCATTCACCATAACAGGCGTGCAAGAGGTGAACACTATGACATTTTAACCCAAAAATGCATAGGTATTTTATTTATTTTTTGAGTATTCACCAAATGAAATGTTATACTGACTATTTTTTTATATTGTTACCCTGACTTATGGGTCAAACTCAATGTGTATGCTTAGGTTTTACAACATTTTTCATATTCAAGTTACACAATTTATCGGGCTGTTTTCTACACAATGGAAAGCAGATTAGTTTGATGCCATCATAGAGTTAATTTTGCTTCAATGTGTAACTATTATTGAAATAAAAAGAGGACATGAGGTGATTTGCTTAGAGGCTTCAGTTTAAGACATAACACACACAAATAAACAGTTAAAAAGTCAGCTTAAATCCTTGTAAATTAAGTTCAGTTTATTTTAAATAATTTTGGCTTTTGTCTATGGACATCTGAAAACAGAGAGACCAACTGAAATATATAAGAGTTCATTTTCATACTTACGATTCCCCTGATCCTCCTGCTCAGCACAAGGCATGATGTTGAGGTTGTTTACATCAACTTCTTCCATTGATTCTTTGTTATGTCAGTGTTTACAGTGTTCACCCTCCGGATGCCAAGATGGTTTTTTAGGAGGGATGTTCAATGTGATGTAGATTTCACTCAGATGGGTCCACTCGCCCGGTCCTGACTCCTGACTGCCAAGGAAGGAGAATGAAAGTGACATTATGCATAGGAAATGTAATAAAGGCAGGATACAGTATGTTGTACAGGCTTACAGTATCCTGGCAGTATTTACCTAGTAAGGAAATGCCTACACATAATTACACAAAACTCACACATACCCTTACGTTTGGCTCCTAAATCTCACATGAGAAAAATGTGACCAAAAGTTAAAAAAAAATTGAAATTACTTTTGGTAACATCCTATTTTATTTATTCTCATGTGGCCCTTGCCATATTATACATTCGTTCAACTTATCCTATATGTTTTTGGTATTTTAAAGTTGCATTTTGGAGTTTTATATTTTAAATTAAGAGTTCCTCGGTACCAGCAGTGTGAAATACAGATTGCTATTGTTTCTATACAGGTCATTACGTAGTCCCGCCCATAGGAGACAGGTTCCTCCTGTTGGCCTATTTCATTTTCTTTTTGATATCTAAAACAAATAAATCCCCTAAACGTGGAAGTTTTAGGGCTAATTCCGACCGCTAAAACACGGTCCTTTCTGCAGGAAAGATTACAATTTTTACACCAAACAGAGACTACGGGCCATTGTCAGTGTTGTTACAAAAGTAACGGAGTTACAGTAATGTATTACTTTTTGCTGTAACGAAGTAATGTAACGCATTACTAATGACATTTGGGTAATATACTACCCGTTACAATTCTCAGTAACGCAGTTACAACTCATTTTAACCCGAAATGAAATGGTGTTTTGTTTTGTCGATTAGTAAACCTGGTGTTTACGTAATCAGTCAGACTGATCTTGATGAGCCTGAAGGGTGTTCTTTTCCCCATAATGACAAAGTCGCTGCACATTATCCCGCTTATTACATGGCCAGATACTAAACAAACTAAGGAATCGACTCCCAATATTAATTGAAATTATTGTATTGACTAAAAATGATCGTATTTCTTCCGCTAAGAAAAAAAAGAACTCTGTTCCACGGCGCACCAACGGCTGGAACTGCGACAACAACTTTACGGTTTGATTGATTGATTGAAAAGTTTATTAACAGCTTGTATATTGGGTACAGTACAGTACAGCTCAAAACATACAATTGTTAAGGGGATGCAGACCAGAGAAAGACTTTCGTCTTGTTTACATCAGGGTCCCCCATTTCCAATTCATCATATCATTTAAGACATATAAGACATATTTGACATACAGATGGCTTATTTACAATTTACATACAGGTGGTTTTTTACATACAGATGGCTTATTTACAATTTTCATTTTAGATTTCGTTCTAATACATCCTAACCGGACATTTAAGACATACCAAGTCTACAGATATACAGTTAGTAACAGAGTCTAAAATGCGAGTATATACATAGATGGGGGGGGGAAGCTGTCCATTGTACGACAGGTTGAGATTTGTACCATTACCGGGGCCAGTTTTGTAATGCTTTCCCCCGAAGGTGCTCTTTAAGAGAGGTTTTGAAGGTAAGTATAGTTTTACTTTCCTTTACAGTTGTGGGAAGAGCGTTCCACCTTGATGTGGCATAATTGCGAAACGTGTATTCCCCTTTTTTTGTGCCAAATCTGGGTTTTACATGATTTGTGGAGCTCCCTCTGGTGTTATGATCATGGTATTCCTTGACCTTTGGGAAGAATTTTGACATGTACATGGGTACCATAGAGGTGTAGTGGATCTTGTAGACCAGGCCCATTGCAAGTAGCTGTACTCTGTCGTCTACTCTAAGCCATCCTAGGTTGTCAAAGTGGGCAGAGGTGAGGTGGGTTCTAGATGAAAGGTCAAGCAGTAGTCTGACCAGTTTATTTTGCGATGTTTGAAGTTTTATTTTTAGCGCCTTGGAGGTGCTATGGTACCATGACGTGCAAGCATAGTCATAGTACCCTTGAATGAGTGCTCCTGCCAGAGTTTTCAGGGTGTTTTTGTTTACCAGAGAGGAGATCCGGTATAGGAATCTAGTTCTTTGATTGACTTTTTTTATTACATTGGATGCCATTTTGTCACAGGAGAGGTTTGCCTCAAGAATAGATCCTAGGTATGTAATTTCCTTCTTACTTGTGACAATAATGTCACCCACTGCAACTGAGAAGTCGTCGGATTTGCTGAGATTATGTTTCGAACCGAAGAGAATGGACTCTGTTTTACCCAGGTGTAATGATAATTTATTATCGGCGAGCCAGGTGCAGATTCTGCCGAGCTCGGAGCTGAGGGTTTTTTTCAACCTGCAATCTGCTCCTGTCAGAGACCAGCAGGGCTGAGTCGTCCGCGAACAGGAACAAGTTGCAGTCACATGCTGATGACATGTCATTTGCATAAATTAGGAACAGTAACGGACCTAATATGCTTCCTTGTGGAACACCACAGCTCACTGGGAGGGGGGGGGACAGAGTACCGTTTACCTCCACCATCTGTTCTCTCCCCTCCAGGTAGGATTGCATCCAGCTCACCGATAGTTTATCAAAACCAATTGCTTTTAGCTTGTCAATCAGAATGGGGTGATTGACAGTGTCGAAAGCCTTTTGTAGGTCCTTAAACACTGCAGAGCCCATACCGTGTTCCTGTGAGTGTTTACTTCTTGTCTGTCTTCTTCTGTTCATTTATCTGACGTCCAGCGCTCCGTCTTTTACTCTCTTTTACTTTCTCTTTCTTGATTCTCCTTAGCAACGGAATTGACCAATCAGAATCGAGTATTCAACTAAGCCTTGTAATAAAAGTTGTTAAGGCTGCTAACAACTTTTATTAAAAAAGTTAAGGGCCTACCATAGACTGTATGATAGGAGACCTTTAAAACCCTGTTTAACTCTGAACAGATTATTAAACCTGGAGTTATTTCAAACAGGAACTTTGTTTTCTAAAGTTACATCATGTTTTCTTGGGGCCTACACAGTTGCTGCACTAAACTACATTTTAGCATTTAAAATACCTAGCCATTATTTTGCGGTTATTTTGGTGAAAGTAACTCAAAAGTAATATAAAAGTAGTGTAACTCATTACATTTCAGAGACAGTAATATTGTAATATAACTTATTACTTAAAAAAGACAGTAATAAGTCATATGTAATGTATTACATTTTGGAAGTAACTTGCCCAACACTGGCCATTGTTTACAAACCCAAATCTGATAAAATGGTCCTATACGTATTCCCGTCTATTTCCGCTTTTCCTGGCGCGAGGTAATGGGTTCAACCGCTTTAACTGACTTTAGTGACCCAGTCCGATTAACAGTCACATTGCACAAAATAATCATAAAAACCCTGAATAATTCAAACGTGTTGCTAAAATAAGTGACCAGACATTTATTTTACTTAGTTTGCTTTAAATGAAGAAGCTTTGGTTTCAGAAAGACAAACAAACTTCATTAATCAGCCTGAATTATTTTGAATAAAGTTCATCCATTGTCAAACGCTTTATGGTATAGACATCTAAAAAGCAGAGTTAAAGTTCATACTTACCCTGATCCTCTTGCTCAGCACCAGGCCTGATGTCAAGGCTGTTTTACACTTTCTGAATATAAAGAGACTGATTCTGAAAATATAGTTCTTATTAAAGTTTATTTTATTTCGATCGGTCCACTCTCCAGTTGCCTGTCCTGCCACTGCAGAGCAAAAATGAATGTGATGATGCAAAGGAAATGTAATAAAGGCCGGATACTGGCAGAACAATTAAAGTTTTCCATATGTACAAAGGTCTGCAAAATGCTCCCCTAAAAAAGAATTGCCAACATTAAAACGCAATAGTATATATATATAAGTACATTGCATTCATGGTAAAACATTAAACCGTTCTTTTGTGTTACTAAAATGAAAAGTCACATGCTTTGAACAACATGTATATGCTACTAAACCATGCTAATAAAAAAACAACAGGGAAACCATTTCAGTTTCATCTTATCAAACTGCTTAGTGTGAAAACTTTAACTACCCAAAATTGATTCAATAGGAGATCCTCACTGGGTTCAACACATAGTGTAGATTTTCTCTCCTTCTCTTACTTTTACAGTGAAGAACATTAGGATGGGAAATCTTCTTGGCCAGTATTGAAATAAATAATTGTTTCGCAGACCAAAAATGGACTCCATGTACTTATGGGGGCGTGAGTATTGACAGTAAGGATAAAACTTTGAACCTAACTTGAAAAAACATTGGCAGTCATTTGTGCATTTCTGTGCCAAGAGCAAATGTTGACAAAAGTTTCGCCTTTTCTCAAGAGATAACAATTACTATTTATTGTACTTTAATCCACTGAGACAAAATCATATTAACCAAAGGTTGAAGGAGAATGTTTGAAATGTATTGTATTATACTGTAAGACATGTAACAATAGCCACCCATGTCACTTATGCTTAAAGGTTCATTTAGGTATTTTTTAACCTTGACATCTTCCCCATGTTTTTGTGTTCAAGTGACTAGTGGGGAAACTATTTTTGATAAAGTGCCAGCATTGAGTGAGAGCTGCAAAATGGGCTGCATTGGGGGGCTTTTCTACAATGTCAATGCACGTCCAAAGCGTTGTTTTGCCACTGGTCTGTTTGTTATTGTGTCATTTGACTTGTTGCCTGAAGACAACAGTGAAAACCTAAGGGAGAGTTGATATAGAAATGCCTTTATTGTGAAAATTGATTGTGTGGGAGTATTAAAAGTGTAGCCCACTTTTGTCGAAAACATTTTTTACGTCACATTTAACGATGTGTCACAAAAATGATAGAAGATTATTGTGCGAGATTTGGTTAATTGGAATAACAGATAGACCTAATGAGGTGAAAGGTCAAGTAAAACATTTAATGTATTTGTGGGATATTTTCTGTAAGGAAGTCAGACACTTATAATACAAATCTGAGCCTGTAAATCAAGCATTTTGCCAATTTCCTAACAATGACGGTGTGGAATGACTGCGAGCGACTCCATTGCAGTATGTTTTGCAGCTGCAGTGCTTTCACTCATTACTGGACCCATTTCGAAAAGTGTCCCCATTTTGTTTCAACCCAGGCTGAAAAACACCAACTCATCCCTTAACGTAGAAAAGTGATCAGCTCGTACAAATGTTTTGAGCGGTCCACGATGCCAAGGGTAGCCCTTCCACGTAGTCAGGCAGAACCGATCTTCCCATAAAAACACAACGTCATCGCAGAGCCGTTTACCGCGTTTCATGTGAATGCAGCTTTAGCGTGGATTACAGAGGGACTGATTTCCAGGTTTCCGGCCTCCATCACTTCCGATCAGCCAGTCTCTGCAGGAGGGCGATGACTGTGTCCTGCTTGGAGGAGAGCAGCTCCAGGGCGGTGGCTATCCTGCCGAGGGACCCTGCCATCCGGACCTCCCTCCTCTCGCGCCTCTTCTCCCTGGCTTCCACTCGGCGTCCAGCCACTCGATCCAGGTAGGACTGTTCCTCCTGTCGCTGCAGGATCTCCTGCGACAAAGTGGCGCTGCTCGGCTCCTCGTTTCCTTTCTGGCTCTGTCCTTCGCTCGCGGACATGGTTGTTGCGTGGGAAATCGAAGGAGTGAGAGAGGAAGAAGTAGCGGGGAAAGAGGAGGAAAGGCTGAGGAGATTCTGGGTGTTGCAGAGCGGCGCATTGCTAAGACGAAAGGGTACGACGCCTGATGAGAACGACGGAGCTTTACGGCCTACGTAGCGCGATGTGTTGTGGTCCGTGTTGCTTGTGGAGCTAAGAAGGGAAGGGGAAGGAGAAGCTGTCTCTGTAAAACAAGGAGAGGAGATAAACGATGGGGATGGCACAATGGTGGCTGGGTGAATGCTGGTTGTAACAATGTCACTGATGATCAGGGGTTTGAGCTCGGGAGCATTCGGTGGGCTAACGGTGGTCATTGAGGGCATGGCAGCAGCAGTACTGATGAGTTGACCGCTGATGGCTCCCTGACCCACTGAGTCCACACCACCGCTCGAAGCAAAGTCCCCATTGGGCTGGATGATGGTGGGGGGGGGCGGCCTCAGGTTTCGCAGCGATCTTGGCCAAAGGACCAGGCAGCGTGGAAACCGCGTTCCCGCTTTTGTTTCGTTTGTTGTTGATGACCTGAGTGCCAACGGTGTCGCAGAGAGTGGCGTCCATCAACTAGAGTGAAAGAAGATCAACACAAAGAGATGGAAAAAGGAATTAAACAAGCGATTAAACACCTTTGTTTCAGGTTTTTTGGTGAATGTATAGAACATACTTCAATCTCTTACAATGAGTAAGCTCTACGGCTCTTACTACGGCAATATGTACACTGTGTCAACATGCAGAGAAATCTAAAGCTTGAAGGCCTGCTGCGCCGGATTTTGAGGGTTAAGCTATGATTGGACAATGGCTGTTGTTGGAGACCTGGCAAACAGCCAATAACATTATTCCATAATGCAGACCCAGCGTCCAGGGCGGGCCCTGGGTGGCCACGACACCCATTATTTTTACCTCTGAAATCAAATGCCCTCATACAGATTAAGGTCACCCGCTGGGTCGGTTTTAATTTGAAATACAGTATGCCTGGTAAAGCTCAAAGTAAAAATTCAGCTATGAGAGCTTTAAACAGGGTGTGTATATATCGGGTATAAAGGCAGAGCATGAGAGATCATCCAAGTGACTTCGACAAAGGGAACGGAGATCTGAAAGTATATAATAGTCCCCTAATGGGACTTTTATTTAGATGAATTATAACCTTCCTTATAAAACTGTTGAAAAAAACACCTGCTTGCATAGCACTCACTATCGATAAACATGGTTCATGGTATAGATCAGACATGATCCAGTTGCATTTCTAGAGCAAGCTGCCGATCTAAACTAGCATCAAAGTTATTCATAGAAATTGAAACAGTGTTCGGGAAAAAACCCAAAAAGCACAGCAGGGCTTCTTGAAGACTTACATCGAAGAACTCCCAGGACGTTTTGGCGTGTCCCGTCTCCTGGCTGCGGTCTTTGACCCTCTTGTACGTGACGATGAGGTTGTTCCACTTGCGGCGGATCTTTTCGACAGGAAGCAGGTGGCCCTTGGAGGCCATTTCCTCCTGGACACTCTGGAAGAGCTGTGAGCGCTCCCGGGTCTCGTAGAGGCCCCAGCGCCGGCCCACCGCCTCGATCAGACACAGCACGGCTTTGGAGGAGAAATCAGAGCCGGAGAGAAGCGTCTTCTCTGAGGGGGAAGGAGGCATCGCTGACGCTGGGGGAGAGGAAACAAGTGGGATTTAGATATGAAAGAGATAAAAGCCCTGGAGACGTACTTTTTGAATCAGTTTCTTAATATAGAATGTATAAAATTCAGCAAAAGTGATAACATTTTTCATTGAATTAACATGAGATATTTTGTGTATTTGCTGTGCACTTCTTGATGGTGTAAGGTAGGCAGGGCATGGATGGAAAAAGTGATGTCATATTCTCCAATGAGGATTAGCAATATTAATTTTTTTTTAATTACATTTAAAAAAGGGCAACATTTGAGTAAGAATCTACATATGGTACTTAGGAGTTACCTTTTATTACTAAAATATAAATAAATATTACTTTAAGATGATTTTAAACTTTTCTGTTGCCAAAACCTAATGTTAAGGAGACATTTTAAAAGATTTGAACCCCTGTTTTGAAGGTCTTTAACATAAAATACAGTTGAAATATTTACATTTTGTTATTTACTTTAAATGATTCTTTCATTCCTAAAAGATTTGTTAACAAAACTAAAGTCATGTAAGAGTTTAACATTTCTTACACCAAATGTATCGTCTCGTTCATGTGTGTGCATGCTGATTAGACTTGGAGAGTTTTTTCATTTTGATCAAAAATCATAATTGTAAAGGTGTGATCAGTGGCGATCCTAGAGTCTGTGGGGGCCCTAGGCAAACATTCACTGGGGGCCCCTCGAACCAGCTTTTCATCACCACGCACAGCCGACAGCACCCCCCGGAGCGGAGCAAGGCAACAAAACTTAAGCATTTTACGGCACGCTATGCATGGGGCCGCCCTGAGGGGGTTTCCCGACATGTCGTTGCAGTAAATTAAAGGGTGTTTCATGTTGTCGTTGCTGTGGACCTTCTTAATCTACCTTCTTTGGGGGCCCCCTTCTGGTCCGGGGCCGCAAGCAGTTGCCTGCCTTGCCTGATCGCAAGGTGGGCCCCTGGGTGTGATCCTCTCACACTGATGCTCTCCCCTGGAGCTATCTTCAGATACGTCTTTCCGTCCCCCGATGTGGTGAAGAAGCGGTCTGTACTCACCGGGTCTAAAAGGAAAACAGATAAGAAGCACATTGTTATCATCATGATAAAAGATTTAAAAAGGATTGTAGATTTCTACTAGATTGACCAAAAGTTGACATTAGATTTAGCATGATTTGTATATTAAACATAAAAGTTCATACAACTAAGCGATAGACTGTGAAGTTTCATAGTGCCATCTATTAGTTTTCCTCATGAAATTTTACAAATTAACTTTCTCTCATACACTGAGGCAAAATGACTGAGACTTGATTTTATTTATTTTACCTACATTTTAGGATCAATAAAGTATATATTATTTTATCTTAATACAACACTATATATATTGTAATATACACATGTTTACATATGTATTAACTGCCGTACAATGTATATTTAATCTTATTGTTTTCTGTCATGGATCCCCCAGAATGTTAACAAAACTAAAGTCATGTAAGAGTTTAACATTTCTTGCACCAAATGTATCGTCTCTGTCACTACCCGATCGGTCCACCTGCCCGATCTGTACTGCGCATGTGCGAGATGGTCCGCCATATTGGACAACTACATACGGCAACTCTAATAGGACACTTGACACAGTGGCTTTTGGCAAAGCAGAAAAAGAACTGACAGAGATGAGTTATTGTTATTACAACGTGACTTCACTATTATTTAACAACTCTTTTTATTGGGTTCTTTTATTTGGGGTTAAGTACATTGTCAGAATAAGTGAGAAATGGATTTAACTTCTGTTAGACAGCTATATGCCATACATTTTTGCATACATTCAGAGTCAATATTTATTCAGTATGATAGCTGTCTAACAGAAGTTAAATCCATTTCTCACTTATTCTAACAATGTACTTAACCCCAAATAAAAGAACCCAATAAAAAGAGTTGTTAAATAATAGTGAAGTCACGTTGTAATAACAATAACTCATCTCTATCAGTTCTTTTTCTGCTTTGCCAAAAGCCACTGTGTCAAGTGTCCTATTAGAGTTGCCGTATGTAGTTGTCCAATATGGCGGACCATCTCGCACATGCGCAGTACCAATCGGGCAGGTGGACCGATCGGGTAGTGACAGTCTCGTTCATGTGTGTGCATGCTGATTAGACTTGGAGAGTTTTTTCATTTTGATCAACAATCATAATTGTAAAGGTGTGATCAGTGGCGATCCTAGAGTCTGTGGGGGCCCTAGGCAAACATTCACTGGGGGCCCCTCGAACTAGCTTTTCATCACCACGCACAGCCGACAGCACCCCCCGGAGTGAAGCAAGGCAACAAAACTTAAAGTGGACCTATCATGCTATATTTAAATTATATATTGTAGGGCCATACCTATATAAGGTATATTTATACGTTTCTGTTTTCAAAATACCAAACAGATCATGCATTTTAGCCATGCCTCATTTCGCTCTATGTGCTGTTTGCTGTCTACGGGGCTGATTCTGTGAGCTGCAGCTGACCACGCCCCCCTGCAGGAGAGGGGAGCCGTGCTCTGATCAAGTCAAGAGGGGGAGAAAAAAAGATCTCCGTCCTCCGTGTTTTATTATATTATTATAGGCCTATAGAGTCGTTATTCATTTGTTTTAAAGCTCAATAAATAACAAAGAAGACCTTTGACCGGCACTTTTCTAATTTTGTCCGGAAGATTTAAACTTTAACGGACATCTTGACCAGCGAAAGAAACTGAAACTGAAACTCTGCCGCACGGTCCCCTCGTTCCTTGGAAGAGGCGGAGAGGTGGGTGTTTGTCATCTGCTGGTGGACTAACCGGAGAGAATTACAGTGCTTGCCTCGACGGGGAGGGATTGCATTGAATTAAAGCAGCGGGAGCAAACGCTTGCCTCGGGGAGGGAGAAAGAAAGCCACAGCGGAGAATAAACAGAAGGGTAACCATGGTAACTATGGGCGGAAAGTCTTCTTCGCTGCTTTTGTGGCAGACTACAGCGCCACTTACAGGCCTGGCATATGTACTACAGCGTCTCCAGCGCTTTCGAGCGGCAATGGCCGGCCGTGGCCCAACCCCACATTCCCCTGATAGGTGGAGAGTTGGCCCAATAGCCGTAGTGCCACTTCTGTGACGTCAGTGAAGTGTTCAAATCTGGATCAGTTTTTATCAGATCCGTTGCAGCCCCTTTTTTAGAGATTTGGGTATGGAGGAAAATAGAGAGGGTTGTGTTTTCTGACACTTGGTGAGTTCCCTGGAACACCGGGGACACATATTCATGTATAAAAGACGTACAAAAGTGCATTTTGCATGATAGGTACCCTTTAACCTGTTTCACGCCTTCCCCCCGGTACCGGGCGGATAAACGCGTCATTTGCAGGAAACAACGTCTAAGGAATCTTAATATTGAATAAAACTATGAATGTGTTATATCCATGTAACGGGAAGAAACTCAGCTAACTGATCTTTTAAATTTTTTTTTTCAAAAAAAACCCACAATGCTAGCACTCAGCCTCTGAATTAGCCTCGATCGAAAAAACGGGACCGACAAAGGCACATAAACTCACTCAGAACTCCCTTATTACTTATCCTAGATGCACAACCAAACACTATTTTTTGGTGTCCTGGAGACACTGAATCTAACGGTGCCCACCTCAACACTCAGTGATAAACATTCGCGACGCTATCAACGAAAGCGTACATCATCACATGTGGAGCCAAGAAGCTAAACATGTAAATATGGCTTACCTTGGTCAAAAGTGGTCTTCAATGGCATTAAAACGATAAAAAAACGATGCTGCAGTTAATCCATAGGTTCATCCTATGTGTCTGTGCCTTCTTTGAAATTATTTCTGATAATCCATAAGCAATACAACTGCGTTTTAGTTTCCAAACTCCAGAAGGAGACATTCCTCCAGTTTAGTTTCGCTTTCCACACGCGAAGCGGCAACATTTTTTCTTTACAATGTGTGTCTATGTGAGTCTCCTCCTTCGATTCTATTGGCTCTAACGGTCACAAGGGTATGTCAACCAACCAGATCGAGCAAGGGGGGCCAGAGATAGGTCAAATCCACCCAAATGACCCCAGATGGCCCAGTTTTTGGCTAAATCTCTCTAAAAAGGTCAAATTTCACTTGTTTTGCATCAATCTTGATACAGGGTACTTATTATATGTTGTACTTTGGATTCCTAAAGCTTTTAGTCTACTAACCCATCATCCAAGGGTAGTTTTCACTATCTGTAAAAAATAATTTTTGGACGGACACTATAATTTACAGTTTTTTACTATGTAAAATCTGAATTTTCTTTAAAATAAAAAACATTTATATTGATTCTGACACTTCTACATCCAACTCACAGGTTTATCATTACTTTGAGAAAAGATTATTAATTTAACCCTTTTAGAAGGGAAGATATGGTCATTTGTTCTGGGAATGTCATTTTCGAGCCTGAGACCTGAAAAACAGGCTCAGAGTGGAACAGGTTAAGATAAGAAGCAGCATTTTACAGCACGCTATGCATGGGGCAGCCTTGAGGGGGTTTCCCGACATGTCGTTGCAGTAAATTAAAGGGTGTTTCATGTTGTCGTTGCTGTGGACCTTCTTAATCTACCTTCTTTGGGGGCCCCCTTCTGGTCCGTGGCCCCAAGCAGTTGCCTGCCTTGCTTGTTCGCAAGGTGCGCCCCTGGGTGTGATCCTCTCACACTGATGCTCTCACCTGGAGCTATCTTCAGGTACGTCTTTCCGTCCCCCGATGTGGTGAAGAAGCGGTCTGTACTCACCGGGTCTAAAAAACAGATAAGAGGCACATTATTATCATCATGATAACAGATTTAAAAAGGATTGTAGATTTCTACTAGATTCACCAAAAGTTGGTATTAGATTTAGCATGATTTGCATAGTAAACATAAAAGTTCATATAACTAAGGAAGTGATAGACTGGGGAAGTTTATGGCTTTTAAAGGTGGGGTAGGTAATTTTGGAGAAACCAGCTCGAGTGCGCTAGAATTTGAAAATACAGCCGGAAAAAATCTGCCACTTCCTTACAGAGCCCCTCCTCCAACCATACTTGCCAACCTTGAGACCTCAGAAATCGAGCATTTCCAAAACCACCGCGGGGGGGAGGGGGGGTGCTCGCCGGAGCTGTATTAGATTAACACTAACATGCTTATTGTAGTTGTAAGTGCACTGCCTTGCGGCCTGCAGCACCATCCTTGATGGAGCATATGTGGAAAGGAAAGGAAAGAGCAGAGGGTTGAATTGTCGATTCTGGTTCTGTTTGCTGTGACTATCTTCCTCACCCTCTCAGACTTTCAGTTGACGCGCTACCATGGAAACCAAACAATGGTGTAGCTGTATTAAAGTCTGAGTGGAAACAGTCCTGAGTAAATCTGATTTAGTCAGAAATCGGGAGAAATGCGGGAGAAATATGACCCCGGGAGGAAACCAGGAGAGGGCAATGAAATCGGGAGTCTCCCGCGAAAATCGGGAGGGTTGGCATGTATGCCTCCAACACACACGACCAATGAGGGCACGAGATAAGTTTGTGCACAGATGGAAGGCTGACAGGCAGGTAGGCCATCCAGTTATTTTAGCCGGGCTGGCTAAAATAACTGGTCATGCTTTTTACAGTACTACGGCTTCCACAGATGAAATTTGTTTATGGATTTTTTTGTCAAAGCACTTAAGATATTCATTGCTATCGGGATGCATTCCATGGAATATAACAAAAAGTGTGTCTCGAGCCGGTTTCTCAAACTTACCTACCCCACCTTTAAGAATTGTAGGCAACTGAGCAATTTTTTATAAATATATGTCTTGATGTAATTAATCATGTAAGTAATATCCATAGTTTATTTTTTACATGTTTAGGTGGTTTTCAGCATTAATATCTTCATTATTACTATAATTTAAAAAAAATCTATAAAGTATATATTATAAGTATATATTAGCTTATCTTATACACATTTACATATGTATTGTTAGTATAAACTGCCGTACAATGTATATTTAATCTGTCATGAACCCCAATTTCCCCCAAGAATGAATTAAATATTCATATTTGGACACTATCCACCTGTAGTGTCTCCTCTTAATCAGAAACCCCACGTATTGAATTATTGTTTCTAAATTGTGCATTAAAAAGAGAAAGAGAAAGCCCAGCAGCACTCACACAGCAGCCCCGGAGCAGCGGTGTTCTCCCCCGGTTCCTCGGCAGTCTGCTCCCCGCCTCTGCATGCGGAATCCCCGCAAGGCGCAGGCGAGCCTCGGCTGCTCAGAACCAGCGCAGACGTGTTCTCATCCACCGCTTCCGTTTTCACATGCAGGATCACGATGTCCCCGCAGCCGCCTTGCAGATGTCCCTCCATTTCTGACAGAAAACAACAGGAAAAAAAAGACCGAGCGTGTGTGTCGCCTGCGCAGGCGTTACATTTGGGAGAAAGTTTGTAGCTCCGGGATCGAGCTGCGCCTCGGTATGTGCTGCTTACTTCATGATTCCCGCACGTCGGGGAAGTTATTTGGAGGAAAGACCCTCACAAACCCCCGCTGGAGTTTTTTTTTCATGAGGGGTAGAGAAATGGCTGCGCTGTCCTCTCCTGCTGACGCAGAGCGGCTGCGCAGCTCTCCGCACAGATTTGCTGCTGGCAACTGTGACAGTGACGTCACACGCAGGGCATGGAGGCAATAAAGCAGGGGTGTCAAACTCAATTTCATTGCGGGCTACATTAGCATTATGGTTGCACTCAAAGGGCCGGTTGTAACTTTAAGACTATATAAATATACATATATAAATATATAATATATATTAAATAATGTATTATATTACATTATTGGCTCTGCATTGGACTATTATCAGTTCTGGTAATAACCTCATAACCTCTGAAAGCAGAGGTCTAGGGCAAATAATTGAAAGCAAATATTCAACAATTACACCATTGTATATTATATTCTTTGCAAGCTCTTGCGGGCCACATAAAACGAGGTCGTGGGCCGGATTTTGCCTGCGAGCCTTGAGTTTGACACCACTGCAATAAAGCTTCAACAGGACACTTTCATATTTTATGCATGCTTCTTTAGTAATATTCAGCTATTGTTGGCTCTTTACCTGCTGTAACATGTACATATCCCCTCTGTAGGACTAATAAAGGTATTCTGATTCTGATTTTATCTAACAAATGACTTAGGGTAAATATAGAAGGAAAGAAAATCCTTTTGTTCCCTCATGTTATTACTCTTTAAAAGAAGACACAGAGACATATTTCCATCCTTTTCATTATAATTGAAAATAAACTATTCATTTTTAAGCTTTTCAAGTTTTCATATTATTATTACTACAATAGTGTCAATCTTCTTTGTTTTCATTCTGCATACAGATTTAACCTTTAAGCACTGGCGCAAACGTACACAGTGAAAGGGTTAATACTCAATAGTCCTGCATTCAAAATCTTACTTAAGTAAAGTACGAAAGTAGTGGCATCAAAATATACTAGTTCCTATGGCTGTCAGATAAATGTAGTAGTGTAAAAGTAGTGGAGTAGAAGTATGAAGTAGCATTGAATGAAAATACTCAAGTACAAGCAGGTTTATCAAAACAAGCATTATCATACAAAGTCAAATTCTGACTTTCACAAAACATACATTCATAATTTATACTTTATGAAACCCTCTTATCCTAACGTGATTATTCTTTAAAATAAAGTGCCATTGAAAATAATGTTGGGAGTTACATTTTCTTTTAATAAAATCACACATATTCATATCCATTGTAAAAACTTGGGTTAACGAAAAGCTGTCAAAACTTAAAACAATTACTAATGATTACATTACATTACACGCTTTTATCCAAAGCGACTTACATACTCAATACTGTGGACAATCCCCACAGGAGCAATTTGGGGTGAAGTGTCTTGCCCAGGGACACAACGACATGCTGACTGCAGTGGGGTTTGAACCTGTGCTCCCCTGATCCGAACACCAATGCTCTAATCCACAGCGCCACAGCCGCCCTATACCATACTTAACCTTTTTATGAGTAAAGAAATTAAATAATTAGTTTTTTTAATGCGAAATGCACTCCAATAACACTCAAGAGACTTTGTTCACGCATTTGTCTTCCTTGAACAATCTGTTGAATTAATTACATAGGATGAGACTGAAAAGTCCAAACATGTCTATACTACTACAAAAGGAAGTACAATAAAACACCATTTAAAGTCAGTGTTGCTATTATCTAATAATATATTTGCCTATTTTTAATTATATTCATACTATTGGATAGTAAAACCTGAGTGTAAATGGATGTCAGAGCAGGAAACAAGGTAGCTGGTTACAGTAAACAATCTTTGAAAGTTATCTTGACAGTATAAAAGTTATTTGGAAAACGTTAAAACAGTCAAATTGCTGCAGTGCCGCTGTACTCTTGCCAGAGAATCATCATCTACCCATGATCAGCACATGCTCACTTTGCATCCTGGAGCTGAAACACTTAGGAAGTTGAAAACTTTAACCGGAAAGACTTTTGGACCTTTGACTGAAACGCAACATAAGGTTGGAGAATATACTAGTTGCATTACACAAGCAGATATATGGAGCCGACTCAAAAGGTCTGGCCATCTCACTTATTACATTAATCTATCCCCCCCCCGGATTGTTATATACAAAGAGGCAACGCTGGCTCAAGTGCCCTCACTTAAGGCAATTTCAAAAGGCTTTTACAACTTCTAACCTATCTGGAAGTACTGTTTATGACCTGTAAATCCGACATCTTTTGATGTACCTTCCACAGGTTTACACTTTGAAATTCAATGTAATTTAAAAAGTACGTTAGGTAAACTGGATAAGTTGTGTCTTAAATCAAGTAAAGTTCCATTGCCTTCTCTTGATTAGCAGCTTTTCTGTTTGGAATATATTATCCACATACAAGGGATATGTCGAAAACAGGGCTATTTACACATTTTGTAACTGTTTCCCAGTATCTACTGAGCTTAAAAAATGAAATCTGTCAGCCAACAGTTTGTCCAGAGATGTTGAACACACTATTAAATTCCTTGTCAAACAACTCCTTCAGTCTGTTTCCCATCGCAAGGTATCCAGCATTGCCCTGCAAAAAGAACACAACAGACCTTATCACTAAAATATGTCCTAAAAAATAAATCTTTACTTTGATATTTGACTGTTTTAAACCATTTAGTACCAGATGTGAACATGATGAAAACTCCCAACCCTGCAGTTCATGTAGAGCTTATGAAAGACACTGTTTCTTACTTGGTTGTATAAGGCAGAGTTGGAGAAAATGAGCTGGACGTCGGACACAAACTCTCCGACAGTCTGGTAGAGTTTCTTCTGGAGTTTGCCGGCTACATTGTTCAGCCACATTGGAGTTTCAATCACAGAGGAGTATCGTTCCAACTGTGGGCGGAAAGCAGTAATTAATTAAAAAGGGCCTATTATGCTTTTTGGGGTTTTCCATTTCCTGTAGTGTGTTATACAGGTTTTTGTGCATGTGCATGGTCTGCAAAGGCTAAAATCCCAAAGTTCCTCTCCCACACACTCCCCTCCGACTGAAAAGCCTCCATTGGACTCCTTTGTTTACTTCCGTAGCGCTCCTATTGGCTGGTGCTAACATATCAGTATTTAGTGTCTCTACTGTGACATGTCTCCATGCTTTAATGTTCAAAAAGCTCTTTATTGTTCTCATACTGCCTGTGCTGCAGCACCTCTTTTCACCCTCTGTCTGAAACCAGAGCCCAGTCTGCTCTGATTGGTTAGCTGGCCGACTCTGTTGTGATTGGTCAACCACTTAGACATGTCCCGCCCCTTTGCCTATCATGTACAATGTGTTGGAGCGCTAGCTAATAGAACCGCTAGTGTTACATAGTGATGTCACTGTGTTATGGAAGTAAACAAAGGAGGCACTTCAGGCAGAGATAGGCTAACAGGTGGGACACGACAAAGTGCTGCAGCACAGGCAGTATGAGAAAAATAAAGACCTCTTTGAACATTAAAGCATGGAAACATGTCACAGTAGAGAAACTAAATACAAATATGAACCTGAACATGAGCAGAATAAGTCCTCTTTAAACAGTCTGCAACACATTTATCTTATCTCAGATTCACAAAAGACCAGAAGATAGTCCTCCAAGAACCAGATAATGAAGCACACATTATATGCTTTAAATTAAATCATTGGCATTATTTGTCATTAATAGGAGCAATATTGGAATCACAATAAAAAACACTTACAACACCACATGGGTTAGAAGCAAATATTTGATCCTTATCAGCACTGCGCAGACACAGAAGGAGGTATTGGCAATGCTGTTGATGTAAGAAAAGGGAGGGATGAGATTAACGGAAAACAAGACACGACGATGAAAAGAGAGATTGAGTCGCAGTGTGCTCACCAGCAGTCTTTGTGATATTGTGCGAGACAAGGCTGCTTCTCTTTCCGACTCCTTGGGGTAAAGGTTTTCATTGGCCTTGTATACACAGAACGTACACATCCATTGGCTTCCATCGCTGCTCACACACACATTGACACACAAACATAATAAAGGTATATATGTTGGGTCGGACAATTAGCAATCTTCAACAGTATATAACATCGATCCCTCTTTAAATAAGTGAAACCACGTGACATAACACTTGCGTAGGTCATTTATAAGCTGATTTATAAAGTTAAACAAATAGTTTAACATGTAATAAAGCAGGGTCTCCGTCAAGGCAGCGATGCTTTTACCAAAATAAAGTAGATTAGGTGACTTGCATTACAATACAATGTATTGTATTGAATTAAGTAGTATTCTGCAGTTGAAGTTGAATCTACATTTTTTTATGGATGTCAGTTTTCGAGGCCAAAGCAAGTCACATTGCTATCATTAATGGCGCATTTCCACTACACGGCCTCGCTCGGTATGGCTAGGCCTCGTTAGGACTGGCTCACTTTATGGCGCATTTCCATTACAGTTTAGGAACTGGGGTAGTATCTATAGTAACGCAGTGTAGGCGGAGCCGTGACGTCATCTTCAATGAGAACCCCAGAAAAACAACACAGCCGTTAGCTGTTAGCACTCAGAGCTCACAGCTCCTCATATCTGTTCAGAAACTAGACAAAAGTTAAACAAGTACAAACCACAGACTGTCTGTGTCATGGCGAATACAGTCGCTGGTTTATTTATGTCTGTATAGGCCGTTGTTGTGAGTGTGGACGGTCGGAGCATATATTGCGTTAGCTTAGCCAATCTCCATTTAGAAAACACGCATTTTAAAAGGTTTTTCGCCTGCCGTCTGTCTGCAGACTTGTCAAAGCATTAATTCATGGTTTATACTAACCGGTATCAGTATGTTGTTACTTCGGCATCATTTTGAAACGTGTATTACAATTAAATCACAGTCAAATATGTTCATCTTGTTGTAGTTGTAGCCCCCTTGCCAGCGATTCTCTCTCTAGTTTAGCAAACTCAGCCCGACTCAGCCTCGTTGTTCCTGGCCCTAGAACCACGATTTTATGGGGCCAGAAAAACTGTGAATTAGGACCCGCTAGCCGGTACTAGGCCTAGTGGAAACGCAACCAAAGACGGGCCGCTGACGTCACAGCTCTCTTAAACGGGGCTCCGCGCTGCAGTGGAAACGCGCCATAAGATACATCCATGAGTTTATACTGGTGGAAAAACAATGTCTCTTGAACTACTTGGTAGGTGTCCTT